GTTGTCTTCTCCTTCTCTTCTTCTACCTTGGAGTTCTCTGTTCTTTTCTTCTTCCTCTTCTTCATAGAGCATGGAATCGAGGTAAAGGAAACTGGAAATCTTGGATTTTGTTGATTTGTTGGGTTGTGGAATGAATTGAGAACTTAAAATTAGTAGGATTTATGAAAATTGTAGCTTTGGGGATGGATTTGAAGTTGTTTGCATGTTGAGGCTGAAATTTTGATGTTCTTAATGATCCCTTTGAAGTTTTGATACATGCATGTTGAAATTCTTGTGATTTATTTGGGTTGCATGAACGAATCTAGTAGAAATTATGAGTGTAGATCATGTTTACGAGAAAAATTGGTGAAATGTAAGTGAGAAACGAACGGGGAAGCCATGAAAGTACACAAAATTTTGCACTCAACACTACATCATTGGTTAATGCTGCAATTGTGAGAGAAAATGGAGTGGCAGAGATCTAGCGTTGCATCATTGATTTGAGCGTTGCAGCCATGCGAGAAAACTGAATTGGTAGAGATCCAGGGCTGAAGTGCTTAGTTGGGCGCTACAGCCTTAGAAAGAAATGAAGCTGGCAAAAATCCAACGTTAAAGCGCTGAATTGAGCATTGCAAAGTCGAGGGTAGATGACCAAATTTGGTCTTGAGATTTTCATGAAAGTTGTAGCATTGAATATTAGATTTTCAATAGTGTTGGAATCACCTAAAAATGAGGTTTAGAACTCTAGTTATAACCTTTTTAGTGAGCAAAGGTCAAATTGTCAACATTTAGGCAAATTGTTTCGATTTTTACAATTTTCAATATGATAGATAATGGAATTAGAACCCAAGTTCTTCATAAAAATTGTAGAAAATCTTCTTGTCTTTTGTATAGGATAAGGATGAACATGATAGGAGTAGTAGGAATCCCTATGCACTATTTTATGTGAAGGTTGTCATTTCACAATAAGTGATTTTGTTAAATTGTATTAGTTGTTGAAAGATAATTAAGTTGTAAGTTATTCTAGTTGCTTAAGTTGATTTATGATATTGTTTTATTAAGATGTTAATGTTGTAAAAATGTATGTTGTTTAAGTTGACATGATGTGAAGTTGAAAATTTAGTCGAGTAATATGTTGTGAAGTTGTGTTAGAATTTTATATGAATAATGTTGATGTGTTGTTGAGATGCATGTTGATCATAGTGTTGTAAATGAGTTGTGATGGTGGTGATATGAGTTGAAAAGTTGTGCATTGATTAAGTTGTTGTGTTAAAAATTATAATGAGTTGTTGAGTTGTGTTATTGAGTTGTGTTGACCATTTAAGAATAGAGGAGATATTTTCAAAAAATTATATATCTCATTGTGTTATTGTATTGTGGTGCTCCGAGAGTCCAATTTGTTGAAAAACTCTTCTTGGAAAGTTAACCCTTGAAGATGGACACTGTGTTGTTTCTCCTATAGGACTTTGTTGATATCGTGTGTGGACAAGATCGAGGTACATGTATATGAAGCAACCACAATATGGGTGTCAAGTCGAGTTATAGTGATTATAAGAAACCAACCGAGTAAAGAAAGAAGTTGGAAACTTAGTTCCTAACTGAGTATCGAAATGTTGTAGTATTTGGAGGATGGGTTAATCTCATAGGGGACTTGGTTAAGTTAACTAATTTCGTGGTAGGCCTGTACCCAGCTATTCTATCTTGACATTAGTATTATACTTCCTTATTTAAGTGACAACATCTAATAAGTTGAGTTTTTATGTTGTGAATTTATATCCAATTTGTTGTTGATCTAGCAAGTCCAAAAAAATCATCCTATATTACCGGTTCAGTAGGATGAAGTCACTTAAACTACTCATTTTGTGTTGTAGGAGATCTCCTAGTTGAAGTGCATGACAATGCATATAGTTGCTGTGTTGAGCATATGACGTGCTAAGATGATTGCACTGTTCATATGTTGCATTGAATTGTGTTGTTGCGTAGATTAAAAGTTGGATTATGTTGATTTTGTATTGTAAGCTATGATGTTTTGTTGTTGTGTTGTCAAAGATGCGACGATGATGTGATGTTCCTAGATTGTACTGTGTATATATATATACATGTATTATTTCTTTTTCTTAACTTACCCTTATATGTTTTTATATATTTTAGATTGCGATAATCATACATGGTATGAGAGTAGGACAATGATAGGGTTGAAGTGTTGCAGTAGAAGTCTTACAATGGTATAGGAGTTTGATAGTTTTAATGACTACCTATTAGTAGTAGATTTGTATAGATAGTTATAGTTGTTTGACTAACAACTTAATTTTATATATTTACATATGTAATATTATTATTATTATTATTATTATTATTATTATTATTATTATTATTATTATATATTGCACATATTAAAATATTAATTTCATTTTTATATGTATGTAATATTATACATATTTTATTATTTGTCTGTATATAATATTAAATTAATAGTTAAGTCGTTTAATGTAAGGATCATAACAATTTATTACAATAACTTATTATATTTATAATTAAAAAAAAATTCACAACATTATTAGATCTCTAGATATATAGTGTAAAGAACAAATCGACTCACACATCATCAAACTTCTTAAATCATAGAGAAAGTATATAAAGTTGAAACTCATCCTTCTTCTATTTAATGAGGATTAGAGCTATTTCTTGATTATTAGTTTCATAAATCAACTTGCGTGGACCATAGTCCCGACAATTTTGAAGACCAAATTTTAAGGCCATTAACTCTGCCAAAAAAAATGATCCTCTATCCCATAAACTTATATGAATATAAATAAAAGAAGAATACATAAAATGGTCTTAAAATTATTAAAAAAATTTAATTCACACGTATTATCAATGTAACTTTTTACATAAATATTTAGTAAAATTTATCATTTTATTATATTACCTTATTCATTAATATTAGATGATAATAAGGTAAATGTATGTTGAACATTTGTACAAAAATGTTTTGTGATGACCATGTATAAAATAAACTCAAATTTCAAATATTAGTCAACTCTCTCTCAATGTAAACTAGAATAATTATTTTTCTTAGAATAGTGAATTAAGCCTAATTCAACTCTAGTCGATGTGGGACTTTGGTTTTTTTCAATACATTCCCTCACCTCCAGCACTATTAGGCTTAGTACGTAGAAATGATCTAGGATTGGCGGGAATTGAATATACTCCACCCATTTTTAAGAATTTAGGATAACTCTGATATCATCTTAGAATAATGAATTAAGCCTAACTCAACCCTGCAAAACTGACTTGTAAAGTGAGAGTTGCTTTCCACTTATATACTATTTAATTGCCTAATCTCTAGTCAATGTGGGACTTGAATTTTTCCTAATAATTTTAAATAAAAATATTTGTAGGAACTATTATTCAACAGTTTGAAGAGTTTTTTTTAATCTTTTTTTTATAACGGTAACATTTTAATTTTAATTTTTTTTATCTCTTTGAATATATTATTTTTATTTTATTTTATAAATTAAATTTCAATATTTTTTTATTACTAGTTAAAACAATTACATCAGAATATAAATAATTTATCATACATATAAAATATAATTGATATATTTAAATATATTTATTTATTATCAGTTTTAATTATAACAGAATTTATATATTTAGAACTATAAATTTTAGTTATATAAAATATATATTGTGCATCGCTAAATACTATTTTAAAATATTAATCTAGCCCGTAAAATTACTAAATACTAGTCATTTAATTTTACTCTAAAGTGTTAGAAATGAAAATTGTTTTAATCATTTAAATAATAAATGTAAAAACTAAAATAATCTACAATTTATATATTTATAAAAACTAAAATAATATTTTTTATAATTAGAAACTAAATTGACTTATGTTAATAATTTAAATGAACAGCTTTAATATATGAAAAATGTTGTCAACACATTCTCATACACTCTTTTGAATATATACTTTTTTATTAATTAAAATTTATTAAAAATTACAAATTTCAATAAATTTCATCTCTTATTCACCTGCACTCATTATATTTTGTATTTTTTTAATAACTTTTAACCGATAAAAAAGTATGTGTTAAGAATATATTGCCAATACTCCTTTTTTTTTTTTTTTTTTACTGAAACCAATAGTCCTCTTAATACTTCAACATTACTATAAATAAATAAAAACATTTTATGTAATCTTTCTTTTAATAGGTTTATGTGTGTTGGCAGGCTTCGGGCCTTGCTTGTTTTCTAAGTAATTGATGCTTCTTGTTTCAATTATTAGATTAGACTCATTAGAGTGATTTTTATTTTTTTTTAACTTGAATACGTATAACACTGATTAATGTAGGTATTATTGTATATCTTCATAATCTGATGATAAAGTTAATATACTTTAGGATCAGTTTGAATAAGTTTTTCTAAAAATATTTGTAAGAGAAAAAAATAAAGAAAAAATAAAATAAAATAACTTTCTTTATAAATTAAATTTTTTTATACACAAGTTAAAAATAAGATTTTGAAGAAGTTAATTAAAAAAAATTATAAAACAAATTTTATATAAGTTAATTTTAGTTTATAGAAAAATTTATTTATATATTTGATTTTTTATTTTACTCTCCTATAAATATTTCTGGATAAGTTTAGCTACTCATGTCTTTATTAAATCCCTAAACATGTTACTTCATTATAATTTTTGAGTATTAGAGATCGATGAGGTACAGTAATTTTTTAAAATCTATAATCACATCTTCAACAAATTAAATACACCTAACATCTATGTTTCTCTGAACTTACTTAGATTCCTAGTCCTCGCTAAATGCCTTGACGAAACTCCCACACTTTTTAAGGCACAAAAGAAACTAAGATCAAGATAACATAAGAATCAAAATTAACAATTACTTAGCCTGACCCCAAAAAATTAAAAAGAAAACCTTCGTTATTCATTGGGTAGTCTTTTGAATCTTATGGTTATGTTGTGATGTTAGGAGTTAGGACAAATCCATGACGGTTGATTGAAATATAAAACAGACAATACCTCATTAATTTTAATTATATCAACAAATTTGAGGTTGTAACATCATATCCCATCTTTCAATTTGTCCTCTGACCTTCAAATTTCTTCCCCATGTTACTGGAAGAAACGAGAGCCAAGTGAGAAATTGATGAAAATTAAGGTATTTATACAGACGCTCACGTATTAATGGATGAGATGACCACCCCTCGTCAAACATTCAATCCTTTTAATCCACACTGCTCGTAAGTTAGAGATTGCTTTCTTGGACTTATCACTATAATACAATTCATTGAGACCTGTAAAATTGAGTTCAATATCATTGATCTAATGCCAAAACAGAAAGATTAATGAAAAAAAATGATTACCCTAAAGAAGAATAACTTCAATCATTTAAGTGGTTCACTTAGCACCTAAACCACTGCACAGCTAATATCATCTTACTCCAAAATGAAAAAAAATATGCATTCCTCTGAGTACTTAGGAAAACAATGTGTACAAACGATTGCAATTAAAATAATTACATCTCACTGTAGGAAGTACAAATGACCAAATAAAAAAGAGAGACACTCAACATTGGATAATAATAAATAAATAATCCATAGAAGTGAGGGTAGTAAAAATTTGGAATATTTCACCAGGGTATATTATAGACAAAATGCATAAAGGAGCGTAAAAAGAAAGCATTTGATAGCAATCTAGAATTTGATTCTGAAACTTACAAAAATCTTATGATTAAAGTGAAGAACAAAAAAGATGCAAGTAGTGCTATCTCACAAGCAGTTTTGATAGAAATATGAAAACATTGTCAATTTAAATTACAAAAAGTATAACTTGAAGTTACTTATAATGTTTATACGGTATACCCACCGATACAAGTGAGAAAAAAAAAAAACTATGAAGAAAAGGTAAAAAAAAATAAAAAATTAAGACCCGGTGCACCATATACATGAATTAATTAATTCTTATTCCATGCACAAAGTACACCACTTACACAACATAGGATTGGGAGATAAATTAAAGCCCAAAAGGAATCAAGCTGAAAACCCAAAGTGGAAAGAGACCGGACAGAGAAATTTTCAAAAATAATTTAAACCTTACATCCAAGTATAACTTATGAAATCGGGAGAAGAAGTTAATGATCCTTAAAACACAATAACATCACAATTAATACACTAAATGCAAGTTTAGTTTAAAATTATTCTAAAAACCAATGTTTTAAAATAACTTAACTAGTAGTTTAATGAAGAATGATTTATTTGTAAAAAAATTAAGTCTATTTAATAAAATTTAATCCATGAGATAAGTAATTTTTTTTTGAAAGGCAAATTATCAAATAAAAATTGAAGAAACATGAAAATGAAAAAAGAATGACCTGAAGAGGAGGAGAGGGGAGGTTGAGAAGGCGAATCCTGGTGGCGAGGTGGGCCGAGAGGAGAAGCTCGACCCTGTCATTGAGGAAGGCGTCTCTTGTGAAGTCAGCGGCGTCGGCGTTAGAGTTAGACAAGTTCACGTCATCCACGCCGACGGTGGCCACCACCTCCTTCACGCTGTGGGGGCGCTGCCAGAACCCCGACACGCTCGCATTGCCTAAGGGGGTCCCGCGGTACAGGAGGGTCACCCTGGACTCGCCGCACCTCATCCCAACCCCGTTCGGGTTCACCACCGCAAACACCAACCGGATCATGAGGTAGAGATTGGGGGGGCCTGGGCCTGGGCCTGGGCCTGGGCCTGGGTGGTAGGATTGGGCCATGTATTGGAGGGCGGCTTGGCGAATGTGGAGGTGGGGCCTTTTGGGCTTAACGGCAAGTACGATGACTAGAAGTGCGGCGAGGAGTAAGAGAGCGCAGAAGGAGAAGAGGAGGAAGAGACAGCAACAGCACCCTTTGCAGCTTGAAGTGGTTGGGATTGGGTGTGGACGTGGGTAGTAGAGCTCATGATGCTGCCTTGCCGAGTTAACTCTTATGTTCATACTTCTTTTGCTTTCCATCAACCAAAATACAACTCAACTAACACTACCTAATATCATATACATACACTATTTAAAACTCTTTTCTTATTTCTTTCTCATCTATAAATCATACTTACCTTATGTATGCAGGCGTGTTAAATTTTGAAATCAGTTATCTTATTTTTTGAGATGCCTCCAACGTAACAAGGAGATTAGTCACAACTATCGGCGGTGAATATTCCAGGAACGAACAAAAAAAATAAGCATATATGCTTTTTATCAAAGGAATTTTTGTTATAACCGCATAGTATCTTCTTATACCAAAGCCTTTTTCTTCTTTCTAAATATTTAAAATCAGTTAAGTTGAAATGATTCCATATCAGTTAATTAAATATTATTTTGGAATAATTTTTAATATGTATTATTATTATTTAATTATGTCTCATCTTTGCGTGTATTTTGATACCTTTGTAAAGAATAAATATATTTAATGAAGTTCTTAAAAGAAAAGGTATTTAATGAAGAAATATTTTTTTAAAAATAAATAGAAGAAATTAAAATAAGTGTGAAATAAATGTATAAAATAATACATTGATAATGTTCTTTTTTGTAAATAAATACAAATACGGAAAATTACAATCACAAAGATCACACCCCTATAGCATCAGTTAAAAAGAGATATTTCAAATCAAGTTGTGAACTTTAGATATGTAAAATTAGAATTCAATCTCAATAGCTAAATAATCAACACATGTATTATTCTCGTAATATGTCTCATATTTGCACTTGCCAATTTCCACAAAACATTTCTTAGCATTGAACCAATGCCTATTATCACAGAGAAATTGTACTAACAGGATTACATAAGAAGAATTCAAGAAACACAAAACATCCTTATATTTTAAGCTTAATTACGCTTTTGATTCTTCAAGTATTGTAATTGTGCAATTTTGATCCTCAAAATTTTAATTAAATAATTTTAGTCTCTAAAAAATTACAATTATGTAATTTTAGTCCTTTAATTTTTCATCGTAAAAACCCTTAAGCCATTTCCTAGTTAAATCACGAAGCAACCCACCAAACTTAGCAAGTCTAGGTTGACCCAAACAGCTACCATCCACATGTAGTGATACATGCACTTCAATTAAATGCACACACTTCACCCATACTTCACTAGTTTTATGGCGGGAAAAGCTCCCTCCCCATATGCATGGCAACTAGCATCAAACAATGAGTAAATTTGGATAGTTATAAATATTTTTTAGAATATCTATAATTTTTACTTGAAAAATAATTTTTTTATTACATTAAATAAATAAATAAAGATAATATAACACTTTTACTATATTAAAACTTCCCTTTTAACTAGTAAATATTAGTTTTTCACTTTATATGAGAATGATTTTGTGGAAAACTTATATAAAAAATTATCCATAGGAAACAATGTTTCCTTATAATATTATTTTTTAAATAACAAACTAAATATGAAAAATTAAGGGCCTATTTGATTTCATCATTTTCTATTTTTATTTTCAAAAAATAAAAAAATAAGTATGAAATGTGTTTACTTATAATTTTTAAAAATATTTTTTTTGAAAACATTTTCAAAAGAAGCCCAAAATTGAAAATAAAAAATGTCATTTTCACTATTTTCTACACTTTTGAAAACGTGGTGGCATGATAATAATTATTAATTTTTTTATGTACTTGTTTATAAGCTTATAGCCTTGGACACATAATTCCATAAACTAAATTGTTTTAAAACATTTAATTCAATCGATCTGCATCATATTTTTTTTTATAAAGAAATTTTGTTTGATGCTTACATACGTATTATATATCAATATTATAAGATTTATTAGATACAATTACTCTATAATTTTAATACATATGTTATTTATATTATTTAATTATTTTAATTAAATATGATTGATATTTAGTTTGATTAAATTTTGATTGTTTTATTTTAAGATAAGTAGTATTAATTATGTGTGTGTGTTTATAAAGACAAAATATATATTTCCTTTCCATATATAATTATTGTTTGTTAGATAATAAATTGTTCATTAGATAAAAAAAAAATATAAGGGATATTTATGCATTTTTAGAGTGAAATTCACTTATTATGAAAGGAGAATATTCAAATGAAAATAAATACAAGATAAAGTGAAAAAAAGTAAAATATTTATAAAAAAAATATTATTATAATTCATATATAGAAACAATGATTTTGATCGTAAATTTTATACCAAAAACATTTTATAAACTTTTATTGAAAATAGTCAAACCAAATATATTACCTAAATTTTAAAAATAAAAAATAAAAAATATTTTCTGAAAATAAAAAAAAATATTTTATGAAACTAAATACACCCTAACATTCTCAATTTTATATTTATGAAAAAGTAAAATAAAGTTGTTTACCAAATACTCCCTAACCCTAAGTAAGAAACGAATTGAATTCTCCACCTCAAATCTATCGACATGTCATTTTTTAATTCATCAAAATTAAGCTCACTACCAAGAGATTTATAGTAATTCATGTACCTTTTGGAACAATGGAATTAGATTCCATCAGCGTATGTGTGTATTATATTCTGAAGTGGTTTTCAAATAGCAATTTGGTTCCATGAATACTTGCTCACAAAAGTTGTCTCTATTCTCACTATTTTATAATTTTTTTTCTTTATTTTATTTTTTAAAAATAAAATGCGTCTCTTTAATTTTGACTAATATATACACATAGTGGACGAGTATGTATCTCTATCGAGTACATTGACCCAACATGAGTGGAGTCAATAAATAAAGAACTCTATTAATAGTCTTGATATTTCAAGTCGCAAAATTCTCTCTTTACCGAAAGTTAGTAAGAACGGTCACGTTAAAGAATTAAAAACCTTCAATCAAAGCAAAACTATAAAATTCGACTGAAATCAACTGTTCTTTCGTGTCGGTTCAAAACCTAATTCATATTGAAAATTTTAAGATATATGCCTATAAATGTTTTTAATTACTTCCACCTAAAAAATTAATAATATTGAAAATCTAACATCAAAAGCCTATAATGCTGTAAATAACTTATCTATGGAATGGATTTGATGTAGCTGAAGAAAACTATTTTCAGACTACACAAGATGTTGGTTCATGTCTCTTTCATGTCATCCTCCGTCATGAATCGATCATTTTAAGCATAAGAAAAGTGACAAATACAACGCATATTTATCGTAACTTATGTTTAATTTAAATAACAGAGTTGTATGAATCAACTCCTAGCTACTTAGATACTGTTTCAATTATAGATTATTTGTTTTTGAAAAGGTTAAAAAAAATTATTGCTATGAGCAGATGCACAAAAAAATACCTCATAACAGAATAAGTACATTGCAATCATGTTCACCCTTTACATTATAGATTCAACTTAACATAATAAGATTTTTCTTCTAAGTTTAGAAGATAATTGGTCGAGTTGGTTAGAAAGATATTTTTTCATTTATTTCTATGATATGCATTCAGGCCTCAATCGTTCAGTCCCACGTGATTGACCTGTGAATTAAATAATCTGCATCCTCTTTCTTATTTCCCCCCTCCCCCCTCTTTTACTTTTTTTAAGTTTATCCTTTCCCTTTTTTTAATTTCTTTCCATTTCTATAATTTTGAGTATATAAATCACTTAAATATTAATTTTTGTGTGCTATTGTAATAAATTAATATATAATGTACAGAAAGAAAACAAATAGTTACTTTAGTCTGATGGTTACTTATATATTTAAAAATAATATTTATGTATATAATTTATTTTAAATTTTTAGTTGTATAATGAATATTTAATATATACATTTTACATGTTAAAATACTGGTCTTTATTAATTATGAGAATATCTTTTTATAATAATTTTTTTTAAAAATCTTAATTGAACGAGGTTTTGTTTGTCTGGATGCTAAACTGCTAATGGAGTAAGTGAATTAATTAAGTATGTTTATATTTTATTAAATCATATTTTATTAGAGAGAAAAATAGAAAAAAAATATAGAAATCAAAATTAAAACATGTTCATTTTATAAGGAATAAAAACAAATTTAATAGTTGTATATAATAAACATTTAATGTAATACCTGAAACTTAAACTTGGGAGCTCTTTCCTTTATTTGATCTAACCCAGATAACTACATTCTTGTAGTTGAGTAGCTGTGTGTATGATAAGAAGTTGTTTGGACTTAGAATTTAAGTTGGTGTAGAGTCTTCTAGCATTTGTATCTTCCTTCTCCTTTCGTTCTCTTCTTCTACCTTGTAATAGCTCAAAAAAATTTCCTCGTTCGTTCCGAGGTAAGGGATCTTGTATTGTTTTTGTATGTATACATGTTGATTGTGCATCTAGGAATCACTAATTATGTGTTGTATTTTTGAAATCATTGGTTGCTAAGTGGTAGGTTTTGAGGTTCTAGAAAACGTTGGAATTTTGAATGTGGTTAATCATTGATCTTTAGTTGCATGTTGTTTTTGATGGTGGAAATGTGATTTAAAGGTTATATAATTGTTATGTGTTGCAATGCTTGCTACTGGATTGTTTGTTTTTAGGGGTTTCAATTGAAATTAATTTTTACGTAAGTGCAAAAATTGATGTCGCACCGGATGTGCCTTCACCGCGCCAGATGCAGCTTAACCAAAGGGTTCTCCCTTCTTTGCGCTGGACGAATGATTGGTGGAATCGAGTATGAGAAGAGGGAATAACTTTGGGTTGGACTAGCATTGGGCGTGATCTGAAAGACGTTGAGTGTGAAAAGAGAGACTTGTTTTTGTTTGGGTTCACACCAAACGTTAAAGGGTGTGATGTTGGATGTGAGTCAGGCAGAGACCCTTTATCTAATTGGGTTGGCTGTGAGTTTTGCCACACCAGGCACGAGAGAGTGGGGCACTCTCTACTTCAATCACGTTAGGAGCTAGTGGTGTGACGCTTAGTGTGGACAAGATAGGAAGCTCTCTGTCTCGATGGCTTCAGGCACTAATTGAGAAGCGTTGGGAACGAAGGCTTATTGCAGAATTGTTGTCTTATGATGAAATATAGTTAAATGTTGATGATAAAGTTTTTTTATATGTTGATATATAGATATACATGGACGAATACCCATATTGTAAGTTGATATATGAATTGATGATGTTAAAATGCAAGTTTTATGTTGTTGATCAAGCTCAAGTATCATCCTAGTTGATTTTAATGATTATAAATAAGCCTCTTGAAAGATAAGAATGCAACTTGTAGTTTATTTTGTGTTTTGAGCCTCTTGATAAATAAGAGTGCAAGTTATATCTTATTTTGTGTGGTTTTAAACATTGTTGCTTGTGTGCTCTATGCTTGGTAAGTAACTTAACATTTTATCTCTATCTAGATATATGTTAAAAGTGATTTGTAAAGAGAAATTGTATGAAAAATTGAGATATTAAGTTTTTACTTAGTATAATCGATTATTTCAAGTAATAATTGATTATTTGTTCTGTTTTTCAGTTACCTGAGTAGCACTTGTTGTAATAATCGATTATTCAGCAAAATAATTAATTATTTCAAAATCAAGGTTCTGGAATAATTGATTATTGCTCAAAATAATCGATTAAAGTGTTCTTGGTTGATTTCTAGAATTGTTAAGAATAAAATAATTGATTATCTATATAAATAATTGATTATTTCAATCAGAAAACTTATATATATATATATATATATATATATATATATATATATATCATTTTTCACACCTTAAACAGACTTTTGAATCTTTGTGATATCTTTTACACTTTCTGAAATATATTTCTTTCTACAAGAAGAGGTTCTTTGACCTTTGTGGTAACCTTAAGAAAATTTTCAAGAATTGAGTTGATTATTATCTTCATGGAGTGAAATTTAAGCTACATGGTTGATTCACCTACTCTGATTTGTTTTGTATATCAGGTGAATTCGTTCCTTAATTCTTTGTGTTAATTGTTTTCTTAAGTAAGTTTCTTAAGAAAGGAGAATATTATAGTAGGTGTTTCTTGGGGTTTAAGAAGTGGTTTCTTTAATAGTGTAAAAATGTATTACATGTGATATTGTGATTGTAAAACTTTTGATATTAAATATTAATAGAAAATCTCAATCAGGTTGATTGGAAACTGAATGTAGGTCACAAGTGGATGTGGTCGAACAATATAAACTGGTTGTGCATTTTTCTTTCTTCATACACTTGAATTTACATTCTTGCATTTCTATTTTCATGCTTGTTGTTATGTGTTGTGAGACATGTACATTGCATTAAAAATTGAGTGAATTTAGACTTACATCAAATCTAAATTAAGTATCCTATATACAAGCTATAGATCAACACACTTCTTTGGAAATATTTAGAAAAGTTTTTCAAATCCAAGATAGCTACTCAAAAAATTTTGATAAACCAATTCATCCCTCCTCTTGGTTAGGTCATCTTTTCAAACATATGTTGCATAACTATTAAATTGTGAAGTTATGCACACATGGTTGAGATACATGTCTTAATTAAGATACATAGCTGCTATAAGTGAATTATATTGTTTTAAAGTTGATTTTTCCTTTAGGGTCTATGTGGAATGATATGGAGGTAGTCGAACCATATCCTAGTTCAATGACTAATCAAGTAAAGTACGAAAGTTGGAAACTTGGTCTCTAACTTAGCATCGGAGGGTTGTGGTATTTGAAGGATAGTTGGTGGACTAATCCCATAAGTGGCTTAGTATTGCAAGCTAATGTCATGGTAGACTTATACCCAAACTGTCTTACCTTGACATAGTACTATACATCCTAGTTTAAGTGACAACATTTGGTTGAAATAGGTCTAATGATGTGGTTCGGTAGGGCCAAATCACTTAAACTGCTCACTTTTATTGTAGGAGATCTCTTTAGTTGATATACGTGATGATGTATTAATTGTTAATATTTGTATGCTAAGATGTTGATTATAATAAAGTTGATAAATGTTGAGCAAGTTGTTAAGTTGTGAGTTATGTTATTGATGATATATTCTTTTGTTGCCTTTACAATATTATTGTGTGATATTTCTTTTGTAAGCTTACCCTTCTTTTTCTTGTGATTGAGACTATGGTCATACTTGGTATGCAAGCATGGTAGGATTAGATGGTTTGTTGGCATGATGGTTACGAGTCATGATGGAGGTGACTTGTTTTGTATGACTCTTCTAGTGGAGTCATGGTTTGGAGTCCTCAATTGACCGTCTAGAAAATATTTTGTAGTAGTTGAGACTCTAATGTATTTAGTATATGTACTGTATTATATATTGTGTATATTCCATACATTTTACTTTATGCATGTTTTAACTTTCGCTCTAATGTCAATTTTCAATATATATTTAGTATATGTACTGTATTATATATTGTGTATATTAAAGTCTATAACTTTAATATTTTTTTTGAATATCCATTTATTCGTGATAATATTAGTTATGACCTAATGTTAAGTTGATGACATAGAAATTAGTATTTGATAATATTTAACTAATTTTTTTTAAATTTTTTTTAAATTTCATTTTACTGCTATTTTATTAGATATTAATTATTATATTATTTATTTAACATTAAATTAAAACTTCTTAATGACTATATCAAATTTACAAATTTTTATAAAATTTGAAAATTATTTGATATTTTGTTACATTAATTCAAATTATTGTATATTCATAAAAATCTATTATAGTTTAATTTTAACTTATATAATAAAGTATTAAGTAATTTTTAAATTTTGTAAAAAATGTATAAACTTAATTTATTTATTAAAACTATTCATTTAATTGGAATTAAAATTTAAACTAAAAAAGTATTTTTAATGCATATAAATGATCGAATATAATAATTCTATCAAAGATTATGAATAAAATAAAAATTTCAACACCAAAAAAAAAATTATGAATAAAATAAGTGAATTTTTCCTCTAAAATTATATAATTAAAAAATAAAATTGTGAATTAGATATTGTAATTAGGAAAAAGCCAAATAGCTAAAAGGCCTGAACCAAAGACAAATACTTGAAGCACAAGCCAAATACAAGGTGGCAATGGTGACTGGTGGGTGAAGCAGAAGCACAGCACATGAAACGCCAAACCAAATTCAACATACCCCTTTAATACTTTTCAAGCCCCACCCTCACACTCACACATGACATAACAAGTTCATTTTTTTCTCCGATTAAATCCTTGTCCTCTTCCCCAAGCAATCAAACCTTCTTCCTCTTCCTGCTCCTCTGTATCAAACTAGGACACCCCTTTTGGCTTTTTCACTCTCTGCCTCCCAAAGTCTTTTCCTTTCTCTCTATGGCTGTCAATAAAGCTCCGTACAATGTACCCCATATCACTTCTTTAGCCTAATTCCCCAAATTGAGGAACTGGGTGGTTGGTGGTTGGTTTTTGTTGATGGCTCAGAATGTTTGACTTGTGTGTCCCACTAGTTTAATTCTGTTGTTTTACTACTTATTCTCTTTTAATCCTTCAGTTTTTTCTGCCTGTTATACCTGGCTTGCTACTCCTTGTTGCTATTCTCTCTAGGTTCTGGGAGGAATTATTTAACCTTGATTGCTAGAAGATTTTGTCGGGTTCAATTCATGACTAATTGGATTAGATTTGACACTGGGTTAATTTGTGGTTAACATGATATTTTCTTTATATTCTATCAGTCTCTGATTCAGATTGCTCCATTAGCCTTTTTCTTTTCGAATAAAAGAAATTGCTTCATGTGACCAGAACTGGAGACTGAAATCCTTTATTATTTGAGGGCACAATGGGTTAAGTGTACACATTGGGGGATGCTGTTCTTGATTGAAGTTCCATCATCACCAAGACGTTGTGTACATCAGTTTTGATCACTTTTTGAATTGGGAATTTGGACAGAAAGGCTTCAATTTGTCAATAATTGTGATAAGTGGGATATTTTAGCAACGATGATTTTTAACATAGTGATATTGTGAAGCATTGGAATGGTTATTCAAGAAAAGAGAAAGGAATTGCTCAGATAATTCAGACGTTTAACGTGAATCACAAATTAATTCCATCCCTGAAAAAGGATTTGTGTATTTTGATATGAGGAATGGAAGGAAGTGATCATTCATTAGTACCACAGTGGTTGAAAAGCAGTGGAAATGTCAGTAAGGTGGCTGGTATAAACAAACAATTCACATCATCACCGTACTCTGGTAATTGTTTATGCTTAGAGCTGAATACATGATAGGTAATATGTTCTTTTGTTTAAAAATAAAAGTAGTAAAGTAAGGAAGAAAAAATTGAGAGCCCATTTTTTCTTTTCTATCCTTTAGTTTAAAAGAAAAGAAATAGTATGGGGGCAGGAAGTAGCTTTAAGTGATTCATGATTTTAGCCAATTTTTCATTCATTCCGACAACCATGTTAGAAAACCGAGGGAGATTCGCTTGAATCTTTTAATGCTTGATAAGGCATAAGAAGGGAATTTTTATTGCGCTCTTATCTTCTTCCACATAAATAATAAATTTGTTCTCATGCAGATTTGTTTCTTTTTCTCCTACACATAGCAGTGATGTTATTTCCAAGTGGTATATTTTATGCCAAAAGTGAAATCTTGTACTTTGATTCTTCATGTATGATATTTTTAGTCACCAAATGTTTTGTCTGGCAAGATACTGTCATCCAGTATATATGGCATAATGGAAATAAACATTTAAGTTTTATTGTTTCAAATATCCTTCTTGTTTCAGATCATATTAGTTATTCTGGTCGTCAATCGAGTTCTAGTAGCAAAGGTCCTGGCCTCTCAAGGTCATATAGTAGTTCTGAGAGAAGCTGGCCAGATAGAGACTGGGAGAAAGATATTGACAGTTATGGCCTGACCTCAGCATCACATGATTTTCCTATGACCGTTGGAAGCAGTAGCAAGACTATGATGATGCATCAGTATAATGTTTCTGCAAGCACATCTTCTGTTACTCCTTGCACAACGAGTCTCAGTATGGCTGAGACATTGGCTCAGGGTCCACTTCGCTCTTTCTCACCACCACAAGTGTGTTTGATGTTGAATTCTATTTTAAGCTATGTATGTGTTTGAAAAATTTTCAGTACTCTTATGGTATATTTTTTTCCATACAGTTATCTGCTAGTACTCAAAAGTTTGAAGAGATGGCCCTTAAGCAATCTAGGTTATTAATCCCCGTAACACCATCCACACCAAGATTCCTGGTACGGTGTTTCTTCTACTTCTTTTTTCTTAAAATAATATAACTATGAAAGACATTCACTTTCAATTTATATTGATTTATTATTTTTGCACCTTGAGGGTTTTATGTGAAATTAAAAATTTCATGGTACTGCTATATGTTGCATCATGATTGATGTTCCTCCTGAGAATCTGCTAAACTAGCAACATGTCATATATTAAATGTATTTTTTTCTTTCCAATTTTCATCTAATGATGAATTATTTTAGAAATGTTAAAGAGACAAGCTTCTGTTTGTGGTGCTTACTTTTGAATGATTCTAGTTCTGATTTATTTAACTAATTTTTTTGCCATTTGCCTTTCTAGAAATAATTACTACTCTTATTACTTATTAGTAAACTGTGGACAGATGATGTCCTTCTCCTTCTCTCTCTAAGGGGAAGTATGTGAAATAGGCCACAATGGTTATTGACTTTTATATCATTATCTTCGATATTTTAATATTATGGAATTGTTAGTTGTAGTTTACATGACATAAAATCCTTAGATTTTCTTTGTATTTCATTCCTTTCAAGGCACAGAGAGAGTAAACAAATGAAAATGAACAGATAAGACTGTATAGTGTTAAGGCCGCCCTGCATTTCTTCACCCCTTTGGCCCTTCCCACCTTTCCCTTTCTCTTAGAAAGAAAAATGAAAGGAATCAATGATCCAACAATGATGGGACAAGGCTCCAAAGAAATTTGGTTACCAATCGGAGCTTAAAAAAACATGTTGGTGGACCAGTTGGATTGTAATTACTCTAAATTTCAGTATGCTTCAATGCATATGCTTAGAACAGCTGTCTGAGAAAATTAATCAATAAATAGCTTACCCATGAAAAGTTCAGGATAAACACCTGGATCAATTATGGGTAATAACAAATTTTCTATAGTTATTGTTTGCAGAGTTTGAACTTTTGTAATGATTAAAGGCAAACTGATGGGGATTATGGTGATGGTAACCCAATGGTTGTAAATATTTTTTGTTGTTTATTTTGCCAAAAGTTCAGTAACTTCAGGCACTAAATATGTTGCAGGTTGCTAATAGCTTAATATAAGGTTTTGCAGGAAATTAACACCTAACATTTAGTCAAATATAGTCATAATCTCATTAACATTGATAATTGATTATAAATGCATCTTTCTTATTTCACTTAAATATACATGGTTTTGAATATGATACCTCCTTTACTGGACAAGCCCCTGCATAAAACAAGGTCTGTCTAGTCTAGTAAAATGTAATTTTGAACCTTAGTTTTCTGTGTGCTTAATTTGTGCTTTACTCGATCCCTTTTCTGATTTGGATTGTATCATTTCCCCCCATTTATTTGTTTCTCTCTGTTGTACATGACCAAACAATAACAGTTGAATTCCTCGTGTTGTGCTTGATTGAGGACCCATACTTCTGCAAAAGAACTCCTTATCCACTGTATTTTCTAATCTCTGCTATGCTTGATGCATTGATACTCATATTTCTTGGAAGTAAACAACTCTTTAGACTAGTCTTGTACCAAAAACTACAAAATTAAGCAATTAAAACTTTCTTGGACAGGCATGAGTTTGTGGTCTGCTATGCTGTTTAAGTTAAATGCTGTAAAGAAAATTAGCATCACTAGCTAGCCGTTAATTATTGTGGGTAGTATGATATATACTTAACTTTGGAATACATATATCTTGTAGGTGGCTAGCTCATCAGAGAAATCAAAGGCCAAGATGGGGCAGCAGCAGTATCCCTTCTCCAATTCGCGTCGACCCAGTCATTCTTTACATGGTGCTCATCCAAACTTAGATATACAGAAAGTTGGTTCTGGTATTTCCCTTAATGTCAGTGTTTCACGAGAGTTGAATGGTGTCTCTTCAGTTGCAAAGGACAATTTAAATCCCAATGGTAGAGTAGTTCTCGGCCCAGTTGGTGCCACTAGATCCACTTCTATATCTTCTCCCTCTAGGAGCTTAAGTAACAGTCAAACCCCTTCGGCATGGATAACATTGGAGAAGAAACCCACTTTTCCTACCCAGAGCAGGAATGATTTCTTTAAGAACTTTTCAAGAAAGAGTTCCTTGGAAAAACCTTGTTCTGATGATGTGCCTATTGGCGTATCTAGTGCCTTGGAGAAGTCTGAACCCAGCACAAGGAGTGTCACTAGTTGTCCTTGTCCCATTCTGAAGTCTATAGATGCCTCTTCAGATGATACCTCTGCAGTTAACATGTTGAATGACTACAGCTCCATAATTACTGAGAATGGCAATGTTGCCAATGAATCTTTAAAACCTTCAAGCAGTGGAGATAAGCAACATAGCAACAACCCATTTCCTTATTCAGATGAGGAAGAGATTGCATTTTTGCGTTCACTTGGGTGGGAGGAAAGTGCTGGAGATGATGAAGGCCTCACCGAGGAAGAGATACAAGACTTCTATGAGAAGGTTGTTATTCTTTTGCTGTAATTCATTTGGAATGATGTTTGCAGTTGATGTATCTTTTAAATGATTGCTCTTATGATCTATGCATTTGTTTCCTCATGCAGTACATGAAATTGCAGCTGTGATCAAATATTCTCCAACACGTGGCTTCAAAAGCATGATTCATTACACAGCCACTTGACTCAAATTCTAGGGGATGTGGGGGAGCTCCATGAGTAAATTATGTTTATAATTTAGAAGTATGATATTGCTGGATTTGGGAAATGAAATTGATGAGACAAAACTTGTGCATTTACTATGTGTCTTGAGGTGCATGAGTGTTAAAATTAGGGAAAAGTGGTTGGAAAGTAGCTGTTAGATAAGGAGATTTTCCTTTTGGTTAATTAGAAAGGTCTATCAGAAAAAGGTAGAGGCAAAACATAGGCTCTTTACTAAGAACTAGAAAAATAATCATGTTGCATATAGTTTCCTGAGCATGAGGAGCAAATGAAGATACCAAAGATGATTTTCCTTTTGTCTAATAGGACCCTGCTAGTAGGATAGTATACAGTAATGCAAAGAAGAAGAAAAGGAGTATGAGAGAGTTCTTTGCTTTTCCTTTTCTGATCTTTTTCTTTGTTTTCCCTTATTATACTGAGTACTAATATTTGTCAAAGAGCTAAACTGCTACATAGAAATGTTTCCCATACTTCATTATCATTAGAAAAGGAAAGAGGGCAAGAAATTAGTTGATTCTGTTATTTCCCAGCCTTAGTCTCCTTTATATATTTGCATTTTTTCTTCTGAAATAGTCTTTGTGGCAATCCACTTATCCGTATCGGTAAGACTTTCATGGTGACGGTGCCTTATTATGTTTTCTTTATGTTTAACTACACATCGTGAACCAGAAATTGTTATGATTAAAATTATGAGTAATTTCCTATTCTGTAGATGCCAATTCTCATTCTTCCAATGAAAAATGGCCACGTCAATTCCCTATTCTTCCAATCAAAAGTGGCAACGTTAGCTAGACTAGTCAAATCATCTGGTATTGTGTTTGCTTCTCTCATGGTAGATCATGAGATTATACTACTCAAAGGGTTTGACACGAATGGTTAATGTGTTAAACTTAAGATAATAGTGTCTAAATTTGATTTTTGGTGGAAACAATTTTTGATAGATTTTATTTACCTTTTGATTGAGATAGATTAGTCTTAAATGAAACCACATATGTATTATCTCATGTAAATGCAGAAGTTGAGGAATAAGTGTTTGGACTTCGAACAACAAAAGTCAAGAAACCTTGTGACACTCTAGGAATCAGATTCTAAATCAATTTTCTTGTGTTCCTTTAACTGATGAAAAAGAATCTTACATTTTGGGTGTAAGTGTAACTTAAAAATTAATTTATATATAGAATTAGAATAGTCTCTTAAATACACTATTTTTTTTTTTTCAATATCATTGATGAGTGTGAGATTTCTAACACAATTCCATAAGTGGACTCATTGTCAACTCATATAATGAAATTAATTGTATTTATCTTTTAGAAATTATTATCCAACATAATTATATGATACTTCGAGAACTCAAACTTATTGTTTGTGGTAAACTGTCAAATAAAATAAATACATGTATAATTGAAAATGTTATTGTGTATGATAGTGGAGTAACTAAAAAACAGTACAATTCAGTTTTATATTTATTCTCTATAGTAGAAAGCATTTATAACCTAATTAAAGGAAAGAAAAATAAAATAAAATCTATTTAAATAATTTTGTTACTATAATTACAAAATATTGCTACCAACTACTATATGCATAATTACAACCATGATTTGCACCAACACTTCTCCTCCACGTAAAGCATAGAAATGACTCATACCAAACTTGACAAGTGAGTCATGAAAAACTTGACTCGCGATGACTTTATTAAGAATATTAGTTACTGTTTTGTAGTCTTAACATACGGAATTAGGACATTTTTTCTTTCAAACTTTTCATATATGACATTATTATCAATCTTCACATGTTTAAATCGATAGTGTAGTGTACTGGATTCTCTACAATATTTATTTGGGGTTTGATTATCAAAATATAATTACATAGTCCCCTCACAAGGAAAACCATGTTCATCTAAAAGTTGTTGCATCCTTAATAATTCTTGTATCGATTTAATCATTGCCATGTAAATATATTATGTGCTAGATAGTGAGGCAACCTTCAATATTTTTACTCTTCTAAGTAAAAAGATTACCTCCAACAAAAGTGAAGTAATCTATTGTTGAATGACACATTTTCCCTATAACACCCTAATTTGCATCATAAAAATAGTAACTTCCACGTGATTGTACATAGAAAATGAGGCCTTTTACAAGTTGACTTCAAATACTACAAAATCTTAACAACACCCATATGAAATTCACTTACCAACAACATAAGCCATATTTAATTGCACGTGTGATAAGAAAATCAGTTGACCAACTAGTCTTTAATATCTTCCTATGTTAGCAAGAACTTGATTGAGAAGTTCCTCTAAGCCATGGTTTTGCTCTATTGGTATATCAATAGGTTGAGTACCAAACATGCCAAACTCTTTCAATAAACCAAGAACATGTTTTTATTGTTAAAAGAATATCTCCCTTGGACATGATAACCTCGATGACCAAAAAATACTAGTCCCCAAGATATTTGATATCAAATTTAAATTGCAAGTTTTCAACTTATTCATCTCATCAATATCATCATTAGTAACAATTAGGGATGACAAATAAATTTGTAAATGTCGATTATGTCCGAAATCGTCTTGATTTTAATAAAGAATATTCAGTTTGATCGAGCACAACACAAGTACAAATAATATCTAATTTATTAAATTGGGTACGGGGACAAAAATAAATATATATTTACCCATTTCATATTCGTACTTGTCTTCGTCCCTATTCTTGTTTTAAATTTCTAAAACACCCTTAGACTTTTAGGATTACGGGACGAGGATGTGTTGTTTACTTTTATAGAATTTACTTGAGATTTATGTAAATTTTATTTTATTTTAAATTTATGTCAGATGAAACTTAATTAATGTAAGTTTTAAATTGCTACTATATGTTAGAATTTGTATTTTTTCATTTTTTTTGTCAAAAAAAGAATTTAATTAATTTATGAACAAGTACAAGTGTTAATGCATTTAACAAGTATACCAATTGACATGTATAATTATTTTGCTTATTTCACAAGCATACATCATCTAGATAATAAAATCCTTCTCTCTTAATACCATGCCCAATATTTTCCATGTTGGTGAGTTGTTGGTGAGATCCTGAAGAAGTGAAAAATCAAGATATATTAATACAAGACAATTTAATTGTTTAGTTAATTGAAGTAAAAAAAATAAATTATTGAGCGTGAATGGACAAACAACGTATATTCTAATTATAAAAAAGGAGTGAACATGATTGTGTCCTTGAGAACGATGTGGTGTATTTGTAGTCCATAAAAACGTCTGATCAATGGTCATGTGATCAGTATCACCTGAGTTAGTGATCCATCCAATGTATTTGCAAGAATCAACTTTAGTAAAAGCAAATTCAATATTACCTAGAGGACGAATATTAAAGTGAAGGTCAATAATAGAACCACCAAATGCAATTGTGACTAGTATTGGTGTTATTGGTATTACAATGCAGGAGTGAATATATATAACTCAACTTGACTCGATCCAACACTGATTTGAACATATTTAAACTTTGGAATTGAATCCAATACACATTTAAGACGGTTTGAGTTATATTTCGGTCATCCAACCCGGTTTAATACATAATATTTTCTTAAAAAGTCTAGATTTTATTAAATTATTATGTATTAATAATAAAAATTTATTTAGTTATTAATATTTTTTATAACATGATATTATATATATAAAGAAATTATTTATTTTAAAAATATATATTATTAAAAAATACCTTAATTTAAAGTTTTTACTTTTTTTCATTTACAACTTAACTATACATAATGTTAAAATTAATATAATGTGTCAAAGTTGGGCTGATTTGACCTTGTCCTATGTATTTTCGAACCTTGACTGGATTGTGTTTGAATTTTATAAAATGGTTTGATTAAAAAAATGCATTGGGTTTGGACAAAGATGGACTTGACCCAACTTAATCCATATTCACCCCTACTATAATGGATAATGAGGGGATAAGAGACATCATTACTACAACTTTATCATCCTTAATGAGAAAAAACTCTAACGATCTATTATCATTGATCTTAATCAAATTTGTTGAACAAAATTCACAAAAGTTGAAAAATTTTAATAAAAAAAAAAGATTGAGATAAGGAAAATGAGGAATAATAACACAATCCATAAGCATTGATAAGCCGAGGAGGGTTTGTCACAAAGAATTTGAATTTTTATAAGAACCAAGGGTTCCACATCAAATAGTAACTAATTTTTTCTCAATTAGCAAAGTTAATCTCATTAAAAAAAATCAAAAGTGTGTCCTACAAGCTAATGAGGTCCCTATATACCTCATACAAACACAAGACTCTGTAATCCTACTAAGGCCAATACAAACACACTAAATTAATTACAAATGTACAATTAGCTAATACAACACCCGATTAACACAATTAGGCTCACTAATTAAACATAACAATTGCAACACAAACCAATAATAATAGCAAATCCAAATCAAGCCCAACAAAGGCTCAACAAAAAATTAAAATTTTTACTAGCCAAAATATGAAAAAAGTTGACTCAAATTAACTTTAAGCTTCCTAGTCTTCTATAGTTTCCTCCTTTTTGAGAGAAATTCTTCCACAAATTTAAGCTCTTTATTCCTACTGCCCCTGCCTTACTATGACCCTTCGACTCCACTGCCCCTATCGAGCTATGCCCCCATTGCACTCACTACATTGTGCCTTCACCACACCTGTCACAATGCATTCCCATCTTTGCATTGCAACCTCAAGTCAGACTTGTCGTGGTGTCTAGATGGTTGCGACCTCTTCAATCTCAAGTTCATGGTCATGACATCTGGTTCTTCTCTTGTTCTCTAGTTCTTCCACTACGATGTGTTAATGGGTTTGCAGATTTTATGAGATTTTGTGTTTTTCTTGGTGTTTGTGAGTCTCAAATGTGTTTGAGAGTTTGTTTTTGTGTTTGTTCACTAGAGAGAGGGTTTGTTGGTTGACAACAAAATTTGTGGCAAGGATGGGTGATGATGTGGTGCAGCCTGTTAAAGGCAGGTAAAAAATTGGTTGTTTATAATTGATTTTGAATGATAATTTTAAAATTGATTCTCATGATTTTAAAAGTGAATACCTATTAAATCAACTATTGCAAAATTGAAAAGATAATCAATTTTAAAAGTATTTTTTTTTTTTTGTACTAATGAGAAAAGGAACAACTTTACATATACAATGATTGAATAATCCTTATTTTTTTACGGCATTTTTTATTAAAGATATTTATGCCTTTTTATATACATGTTCATATAAGAGTAGTTAGCTTGTTAGAAAAATTAGTCGATTGTTATTAGTTTGTTTAGAGATAATTAATGTTAGCTCTAATAAGCTCTATATATGCATAAAGCATTTATACCTTATAATTATATCTTTTATTCAATCAATCAATTTTCTAAGATGGACTCACATAAAATAGTTGCCAATGATTTTTTTTTTATAGTATTTCTATTCTCTATTTTGAACTTTATCTGACCACTCACTTGGAATTACTTGCATTTTCTTTTAAAAAATTTAGAT